ATTCTGTTGCTATGATTGCGCTCAGTGCCCTGCAAGGAAAATGTCAATCCAGATTGGTAAATAAAATCTTGATATTTTAAACTGGGTCCTGCTCTCGTTCTAATGGCTTTTGACTAGGATACAGATATGCATTGTTGTAGTAACACCTCTCTTGTTCACCAGGGATAGCAATGAGAGACCCATAAGGCCATATTAGGGTTGCCAGCCTCCAGGTGGGGCCTGGAGATCTCCCGCTTTTACCACAGATCTCCAGCCGACAGAGATCAGCTCCCCTGGAGAAAATGGCTTTTTTTAAAGGGTGGACTCTGTGGCATTGTGCCATGCTGAGGCCCCTCCCCTCCCCAAACCCTGCCCTCTCCCAGCTCCACCCCCAAAGTCTCCAGGTATTTTCCAACCCAGATCTGGCCACCCTAGGCCATATCCAACCTAAAACACCTTTTCCCTTGAAATGCTTTTCTCCACTGCCCATTGTCCTCATGCAAATTAATTTAGAAAATGTTCTATTGACTTTCGCTCCAGGGCAATGCAAGGAAATATTTTGTACTCCTCTGACACCTCTATTATTGCCATTGTAAAACTTTTTGCATGAATGATATTTCTGTAGTCACATTAAAATCAGAAATAATGTATACATGATGACCATGACAATGATAATACAAAGCTCTGACCTGGATAGCCCAGGTAGACTGATCTCATCAGATCTTGGAAGCTAAGCAGGGTTGGTCCTGGTTAGTACTTAAGTGGGAGACAACCAAGGAAGTCTAGAGTCACTATTCAGAGGCAGGCAATGGCCTCTGTTCGTTTCTTGCCTTGGAAACCCTATGAGGGCAGCATAATTGAAATTTGATTTGATGGGACTTTACACAAACAATAACACAAAGCCCTTGATACAAAGAGAGTATGATGGCAGCATTCTGAATCTATACCATGTAGGGCAAAGAGGAACTGAGTGAAATAAAAATCCCCATTGGATTACAATAAAAGGATGAGGCTCCTAATCTCAGTTTCCCACATTCCAAATGCTGGTGGTCTAGGAACTTAGTAGAAGAGTTCTCAATTACGTACTGACTCAGTATCCTTTATAGGGAAACTGTGCCGTCAAGTCACAAATGAATTAGGGCGACCCCAGGAGGACCATGGGGTTTTCAAGGCAAGAGATGAGCAGAGGTGGTTTGCCATTGCTTTCTTCTGTGTAGCAACCCTGGACTTCCTTGGTGGTCTCTCATCCACATACCAACCATGGCCAGTCCTGCTTAGCTGCTGAGCTCAGACAAGACTGGCACCCTTTAGTCACTGATATTCCTAAGTGCTTCATCTACTCAATGTTCAACATCTCACAGTGAAATCTGGAGAATGTTTCTGCCTTTTGGAAATGTTGAGATCTTGCTCATGCTTTTCAGATGCAGACCAGTGTGAGAGTTGCCCAGAAGATCAATATCCAAATGTGAAGCAAGATCGATGTATCCCTCGAAGTATTACCTATTTGTCCTATGGAGAACCCTTAGGAGCAGCCCTGGCTTCCTTCACCCTATTCTTTTCTTTCACCTCCGTTGTGGTGATGGGTATCTTCATTCGGAATCAGAATACCCCCATTGTCAAAGCCAACAACAAGAGCATCACCAGCGGTCTTCTCTGCTCACTGCTGGTTGGCTTTCTGTGCTGCTTCCTATTCATTGGTCACCCTGGGAAGGTAACTTGTCTTCTTCGGCAAACAGTATTCAGCATCACCTTCTCCACTGGAGTTTCTTGTGTGTTGGCCAAAACCATCACTGTTGTGGTGGCTTTCACGGCTACCAAACCTGGAAACAGGATGAGGAAATGGGTAGGGAATCCCCTGGCAGCATCACTCATCACTCTCTGCTCTCTTATTCAAACTGGCATCTGTGCTGCGTGGCTTGTAAGTTCTCCTCCATTCCCTGAGTATGACAAGGATTCCCAGGTTGGTCAAATCATAGTTCAATGCAATGAAGGGTCAAACGTGATGTTCTACAATGTCCTGGGCTACATGGGCTTCCTGGCCATCATCACCTTCACTGTGGCCTTCCTTGCCAGAAAGTTGCCTGATACTTTTAATGAAGCCAAGTTTATCACCTTCAGCATGTTGTTGTTCTGCAGTGTTTGGGTGTCCTTTGTTCCAACGTATCTGAGTACTAAGGGGAAATACATGGTGACCGTGGAGGTCTTCTCCATCTTGGCCTCCAGTGCGGGTGTGTTGGGCTGCATCTTCTTTCCCAAATGCTACATTATTATCTTGAGACCTGAACTAAACACCAAGGATCAGCTGGTGAGGAAAAAAAAGTGTCACACTTAAGTGTCCAGGTGTTACCTATTCTCGATCAAGTCCTCTTCTGTATGGATAGTGGAATACCTGTGGATGCCACCCCAATGGCAAGAGAAAAGAAGGGATATATGACTAAGCAGCTGTCATGTCATTTTATATATATTTTCCTCATATTCTAGGACTGTTTACCTAATTGTTTGATTTATAATCATAAATGTCTTCCAGGGTCATCCATTGTCAAATTAGCTGAACGTTGGAAGATTCTACACAAAATTGTGCAGTGGAACATATGATCTATGACAGAAAGCAGAGATGAACACCAGATTGTATTTCATATGCTTCTGTACTTGTGTTTGTTAAATGAATAAATGGGTCCAGTCAAAATTATATCTGTGGCAGAATGTGCCTGCTCTGGCCTGTGGGACCCATTCCGCCCTGCCCTCGTAGGGGTTCCCAACTCCCTCGAGGGGCTTTTTTTTAACTTACGAGTATCCATGATGACAGTGATAATTAACCCTCATATCTACGTGTAAGGCTTGAGAAGAAAAGAAGAGGAGGAGGAGATTGAATAGGCCCTTCACTTGGAGTCTCAGAGCAGTTTACAGTCTCCTTTCCCTTCCCCTCCCCACAACAGACACCCTGTGAGGTACGTGGGGCTGAGAGAGCTCTTTTGAGGACTGCTCTGAGAGACCTCATGACTGACCTAAGGTTACACCAGCAGCTGCATGTGGAGGTGTGAGGAATCAAACCCAGTTCTCCCAGATTAGAGTCCATGCTCTTAGCCACTGCACCAAACTGAGGAAGACAGTTTCAGTGTATCTGAAGAAGTGTGTATGCACATGAAAGCTTGTTTCCAGAATTAAGCTTTTGTTGGTCTTAAAGGTGCAAGTGGACTCAAACTTTGTTCTATTAACTTGGATAAGTTACTTGAGCCCACTCTCCCCCCCCCTTCTAGTAGTCCAGCTCTGGTCTACTCTCTCGGTATATTTATTTGTAGTCCTGTACTAAACAAGGTCCTTCTGAGCCCATTGACTTCAAATGGGACATTAGTATCTTGACTCTATTTTCAGGCCCCCACTCACACCATGAAAAACAGTGACTGTATTATATCGTGCTCAACATAAATGATTGAATAAAAATTTAAACCTCAGCTGGCAGCCTTCGAACAGAGAACTTTCATGCAAGAGAAATAAAAACACATGTCATGTGTCCACTCCCAAAGACTCTCCAGAAAATATGTCTTTACAATATGGTGAAAGGCTAAAGAAGAGGGGCTTGATGAACCTCCATAGCCTGAGATTCCATTTGCTCAAGTGGTTAGAAAGTGGGAGTGGGACCTCAGAGATCTAGGTTCCAATACCCATTTGACAAGAAGCCAGAACTCATTCTGCTTCCTGTTCTGATTCTTAGGGAGACAGATAGCAATGGGGTTTGTTTAGAATGAATCAACCCAAATTGTCCTAATTCCACAGAGGCTGTTTTCTACTGATGGGTCTGGAGATCAGTTGTAATTCCAGGAAGGCTCCAGGTCCCACCTGGAGGTTGGCCTTGAGGCCTTGGAGTGCCGCTGCTAGTCTGAGTAGACAATACTGACCTTGATAGACCAATGGTCTGGCATATCATTAAATAATGAATTATAAAGAAGCATAGGTGCTTTAGTGAACACCCATAACTTGCAGAGCATGGAGTGAGTTGTTGTAACTGCCTTGGGGAAAGAGCATGCTACTCTGTGCTGGCATGCCTCTTGGAGGGGGAAGAAGGAAGCCGTTTTGTGATCTGATGTTTATATGGATTGGTTATACAAGCTCTTTCCTTTCTTACTGCTCAGCAAGTTACCCAACATTCACCCAGTATTGATATTACATTGCATCCTATATAACACTGAACTTATGCATGAACAAAGTTCCCAGGCATTTCTGCTAGATTGTTACATCTTGACCACAAAGTGGTGTATATGGGGTCTAACCTTAATGTTCCCTGTCAAATTCAATGGTTTTACCTTATTTCCATTCTTCAATATATCTAATTATCAACAGAGCACCATCTGTACATACTTAAATCATACTTAAATCCAGAGATTGGAGTCATGAACTGAGAATACACATCATTCTACAAACCCAAGAAAAGCCCTAGGTTTGCAGAAAAAACTGAATTCTGAAACAAACAAAAGAACCACCCCAAATAAAAGATGTAGTTTTTGTACCTTTAAAAAGGAAATCTCAGCAGCCATTGTGGGGGTACTAGGTAACCAAAACAACACTGCTAGCCTTTAAGCCTTGGTTTCTGTCAGTAAAAGCCAGGGGGTGCTTTCCAGAGCTATTTTGGCCTCCTAGTTCACCCTGCTCCTCTCCCTCCTGCCCTGGAAGGAGGACTTACAGAGAACAGGTCTTGCAGAACACTTGGGAAATTTTTGTGCTACCTTACAGTTTGAGCAACTCACCCAAGTGTGGCAGTGGCTGACTTGATGCTATTCATGTTGTCTGGGTCCAGCAGCAGCCTACACACAACTTGTGTTACTTGGCCAGGCCTGGCAGCGGCCAACACACAATTTACTTGAGCAACTTGCTACTGCAGCACTTTTTGCAACTTGACCATACTTTTCCTTAAAAAAGTCTGCCAGAGAGATGGAAGGATGGAAAATCAAGAGCCAGAGTGGTGTAGTGTGTCATACTAGGATCATCTTGAAGTCCCCAGTTTGTAGCCCCACTTTGCCATGGAAACTTTCTTGGTTACTGTGGGCCAGATACTGCTTCATCTACCTCACAGGAATGCTGTGAGAATAAAATGGAGGAAATAAGAATGATACAAGCTACTTTGAGACCCCATTGTTGGGTGAGTGGAAAGGAGAAAAGAAAGCAGGGAAAGGGGTTATAAGGGACTTTTGGCAGGACAGAAAGAGTATGGGGAAGGGGATATAAGGGAAAATGAAGAATAGCTGGAAGTCCTCACAAGTTCTCTGCTTTTTTATAACTGTTTCAAAACACCAGCATGGTTTTAAACAACTTCATACATACTGATGGAGCTTACAATATATTCTACAATTCTCACATTTTCTTATAATGAACAGTTTTTGAGAAAGCCTATAGTGTATAATTATGATACCTCCCATTTAATCTTTCTTTAAAAGCATGTTATTGCTTTGTACAAACCATTACAATATATTAGTACAATGAGTTAGTACAAAAACCTAAAATTAGTAAATTAAATATGATTACATGGTGATATAATTCTTCGGAGGGTATTTCAGACCAGAAAATATTATTTCACAGTGAGAAAACATACAATACTGAAGGAGATGGGGGCCAAAGGGAGTAAGTGGAAGTTTTTGGTAAAGTATGACACTCACTGGCTAGATAGCAGTTTAGTTATATTTTTCTTGCATCATCTTTTCCCTTAGCTATTCATTCCTACTTTGGTCTTAAATGATATTTCTCATCCCTCACTTCGGTCATTGTGAAAAGATCAAGTGATTTTGCTCATTATGGTTTTAACGAAGGAAAATGGCTCAAAACTAAAATCCTTTGGACAATCCATTAATACAGCTAGTTTTCCTCACCAGCTGCTCTCTGGTCCCTGCCACATGACAGGGAAAAGGACGGCAGATCTGCAGCTAATATGAGCTGCACCAAAGTTGGAACGCCGCGGCGGGATCAGATGCCGGGGAGGAAGAGTCGGATGGGAGGGGGAGGCTGCTGAACTGCGCATGCTCGAGCATGCGCAGTATGGCAGGGGGTGGGGATGCACTGGCGCAAAGACACGCCGGGCGATCCCACGGCCCGGCTTGCGGTGCTCTAATGGATACAACCACCTAGGTAGGTGGTTCTTTTTTAGTGCGCATTTTCGGTGGTAGGGGCAGATCAGGGACGGGCAGGCAACGATTCCCAGATGTTGCTATGGGATCGCGCCCGTTTGCTCTGCCCCCATTCCATCCCCCTCCCGGCCCCAAACGCCTCGTATGAACAGGGCCTCTGATGTTCAGTTGGGGTCTCACTAAGATAATGTAGCATTTGGGGAGGAAGATACAACTCAACAATCCAGTACTAGAGGCCAGGATAGAGAAAATCTCCACGGCCACCATGTACTTCCCCTTGGTGCTCAGGTAGGTTGGAAGAAAGGAAACCCAAACACTGCAGAATACCAACATGCTGAAGGTGATCAGCTTGGCCTCATTAAAAGTATCAGGCAACCTCCTTGCTAGGAAAGCCACAGTGAAACTGACAATAGCGAGAAAGCCCATGTAGCCTAAGACAATGTAGAACATGAAGTCTGAGCCTTCATTGCATTGTGCTATGATCTGATTGATCTGGGAGTGCATGTCAAGCTCTGGGAAGGGGGGAGAGGTTGCCAGCCACAAAGTACAGATCCCCAATTGAATAAGAGAACAGAGAAATAGGACTGACACTGCTATCCTCTTCCCTACCCATTTCCTCATCCTGTTTCCTGGCTTGGTGGCCATGAAAGCCACAACCACAGTGATGGTTTTGGCTAAGACAGAAGAGACAGCCACAGAAAATATGATACCAAATATCGTTTGCCGCAGAAAACAGGTCATCTTCCCTGGTCGGCCAATAAAGAGGAAGGAGCACAGAAAGCAAAGCAGCAGAGAAGACAGCAGGGCACACGTGATACTCCAGTTGTTGGCTTTAACAATGGGAGTGTTGCGATTCTGAATGAAGGTCCCCATAATCAAAACTGTTATTGTAAAAAGAAACAGAGCAGAGAAACTGAAAATGATTCCCAAGGGCTCTTCGTAGGACAAATAACTCATATCTTTGGGGATGCATTGATCTTTGTTCTTGTTTGGGTGCTGGTGTTCTGGACAATTGCTGCAATGATCAGCATCTGAAAAGAAGTATACAAATATCTGAAAAATTTACAATGTTCTTTTGATGGAGATGCGATTCATTTATCTCCACTGCAGTAATTCTTTGCTAAATAAATGTTAATATTTTGGAAAACAAACCATCAACAGAACAGTTCTCCAAAAAGATTTCTATGTTGTAGGATAATATAAATGACAGTTAAAACAAATGCTGGTAGAAAATTTTTACCCAAAATAGTAGGGGTTGGCTCTATTAATGTGCAACTGAAAATGCAACCAGACTTAGTGTTTTTTCACTTGTGCAAGAACTAGGGCTATATAAAGGTGACCTGGCCATCAGATATTGAATAATGATATTCATAATGACCATTGTAATGTTTCAAAATATTTGTAATGTTCAAAATATGGCATGCAAGCACATTTCTAAAAAAGTAATCTTCAAAAATGTAGGAGGGGGCTGCTTGTATTAGGTGTTACACAAAAAATCAGATGGCTTGGACTACACCATTTATGCTTTAGCACAAGAGATAAGCTTGAACATTTCACACACTTCTTCTTGTGCAAAGATCCCAGTGCAAATGGAAATCTGGCAGATTCAGCTCTAACTTTTTAGTAGGAATGGGCATGAACTGCATTTTTGTAGTTTGGGTTGGTTTGTGGTTCATGGCTGAACTACAAACTGAACCATGAACCAATACTCCAATTCATGAACCAAACCAGTTAGTATCAGTTCATGAACCAATTAACCCCCTACTATCTGCTCACTACTGCTTTTGGTGGGGAGCAGAAAGCAGGGAGTGAAATTCTTCTGAGCCATTTAAACCAATCAACTGAGTGGTGGGGAGCTGTTTTTCATGAAGAGCACAAAAGAGGGATTTAAATGGCTCAGAACTATTTAACCCCCTGCTTTCTGCTCCCCACAAACTACCATGAACTTCATCAAAATTCATGAAAGTTTGTGGCGGCTCTTCAGTTCACGGTCATAGCTTTGCAAACCATGAACCAGCCAAAATTCATGACGAACTTTAGTTTGTGAGCTGGTTCGTGCCCATCCCTACTTTTTAACATTTCAGTAAATGCATAAGGAAATATCTGTATCAGTGGTCAATTTGAAGCCAGTTATTAATCTACAGTGTAATTTTATTAATGAAGTAAACTGACATTAATTAATATCTCAGTATTTTGTTTTAGTCTTTAATTTACTTTACTGCAAATGAGTTTAATATGCAACTGGCTGTTTCTGACGCCCCTTTTTTGCCACACAGTCAGTCTTGTTCTTCTGGATGACAATTATGCTTGTCTGTTTTGCAGGAAAAGTAAGGAGACCTTTCCTCATCCCTAAAAACCTTTGCAGTCTGCATACGCCTTTTATTGCCTACACCCTTATGGAAGAAATGTAGCAGTTGAGTATATTACAACATTTGACAGTTGATATAGAAGTCTTTTCAGTATTTCTCAGATTCCATTTATTTACCCGTCTGGGTCGAGATCATTCCTTCTGGACAGAGAAAACAGTCATAGCAGCAAACTTGCTCCCTTTGCCGAACAATCTTGCTGTATCCGGGAAGGCAGCTCTTGACACACCTTGAATGGGGAGGAGTCTAATGAAACCAAAGAAAAGCTGTTCAAGCTCTCTTTTTTTGCATTTTGAGTTGTGATGTTCAGCTCAGCATCTTGTCCCTCAAAAGGTAGGGCTGTGGTTCAGTTATAGAGTCCATGTTCTGAATGAAAAGGCTCCAGAATCAAGCCTGGCTGTCTAATCAAAGGTTCTCAGCTTGCAGCTATTGGGATAAACCTCTCTTTCTTTGAAAGACCTTGGTGAGCTACTGCCAATCATAGAAGGCAATACTGAGGAGTAAGAGGTGGTACAGCTTTGCCAGCTGTGCAACATCTTTGCTGAGGGTTGTTCTTCCCCTTCCAGTCTCCAGTAACTTCATAAAGCTTAGGCATGGCTAGAGGTGGGAGCCCTTGGGGATGAGCTGAAGGGCAAGAGCCAAAGGGCTCTTGGCCTAGTGGCTCACAGCCTATGACTTCAATCGAGCCAGCCAAGGATTCCAGCATCACCCCAAGATGTATTTTTCCTACTAACAGAGGGTTTGCTTGTGAACTTGGGTGAGACAGTGGACCATGTGGAAGTGCACTGCTGGCACACTTCTGTATTGGAATTATATTATTGGGCTAAAATCCCCACGATGTCTTGCTTGCCACAGTTGCATTAAAGACCTGCAACAGCAGCCTCTCATTTTCCAGACCAGTAACTGCTATTTGTTCCAGACTGGTTGATTCATCTGTTTTTCTTGTAAGTTGTTTTGGTGGGTTTTTTTTTTTTTGAGAAGTGGGATATAAATACTTAAATAAACACATAATTTTAGACACAAGTCAGTCCCAGTGAATGACATACAAGCTCTTTTATGCCCCTCTCTGTGTTTCCAGAAAAAGATCAACCTGGATACCTTTGAGCTGAACCCTTCATCAGTTCTGGAAAACTCACACACTTTTCTTTGAGTCCATGGTGATGCCCCTGGATCCCACCACATCTAGGTCCAAATTTCTACTGAGTTCTCTCTCTCCATCTGTACATGGGTTCAGTGGCCCCTTAATCTGACCACCAGAGAATTTCCTGTACTGAGGAGTCTGGAGGCCAAGTCCCATGAGGAAAGATTGAAGGAGATGGGTATGTTTAGCCTGGAGAGGAGATGACTGAGAGGTGATATGATAACCATCTTCAGGTACTTGAAGGGCTATCATATAGAGGAGGGCGGAGCCATTTTCTGCTGCCCCAGAAGGTCTGACCAATACCAACAGGTTGAAATTAAATCAGAAGAGTTTTCGGCTAAATATTAGGAAGAACTTCCTGACAGTTGGAGCGGTTCCTCAGTGGAACAGGCTTCCTCAGGAGGTGGTGGGCTCTCCTACTTGGAGGTTTTTAAACAGAGGCTAGGTGGCCATCTGACAGAAATGCTGATTCTGTGAATTTAGGCAGACCATGATAGAGAGGGCAGGAAGGGTTGCATCAATACTTAGTTCTTGTGGCCCCTTTCTTACACACCCAGGGAAATGCTGCTTGCCACTTTGGGGCCAGGAAGCAATTTTCTCCAGGCCAGTTTGGCAAGGGATCCTGGAGGACTTTTGCCATTTTCGGGGTGTGGAACAGGGGTCACTGGGGCTGTGGAGGGGGAGCGGGAGGTATTTCTGAATTTCCTGCATTGTGCAGGGGGTTGGACTAGATGACCCTGGAGATCCCTTCCATGATTCTATGATACTTTGTGACTGGATGAGCAATATAAAGACCTCCATGGTGTATCCCAGTTTTGGATTCTGATGGAACAGGACAACTTTTTAGAAGTTAGAATTATTGTTTTTCAAAATCACAGTTCCTACCTGTTGAGGCCATACAATAGCATCCTCATTAATGGTGAATTGTTTCCCAGCAGGAGCACGCAAGTCTATGGTTGCGACCTGAACTCTATGGAAAGAGTTATTTGGAAGTGTGACCCAATTGATGATATCACAATGAGTGGCCAGCTGTCCATCTTCAAACAGTATTTCATCCCCAGCTGTATTGTTAAAGTGGATGTAGTTAAGAAAGGAGTGGAGCTAGATTGGAGGAGAATAAACAGGGATAGAGGAATATTGGGAAAGCAGTGAACACAATCTCTCTGGAAATCGCTGATCTGATCTTTTCGCCTGCTATATCTACTTGCTTGTTCAAAAAACAGGAGTAGGTGCTTCTCTCACCTATAGAATGGATGCACAGAAATATAACTAAGTCCATACTGTCTTGTTCACTTACAAAAAATTAAACCAATTTGGAACAGTTTTACCTCTACAAATTTTGAAGGATAAGCACCATTGGTCTAATATGTGTGTAAGTGTATCTGAGATAGGGGAAGGGAAAGCCTGACATTTTCTAGCAGTTTACAGCGCCATCCCAAGCAGAGTTGCAGCCTTATAAGTCCATTGAAGTGAATGGACCTGGGAGAACATAACTCTGCTTTCAATATCGAGGATCATGCTAGTCTGAAATGTAGAAAAATTGAAAGTTTCCCCACAAACTTGACATGAAAATAAAAATTCAGGACAAATAATAATAAGGAAGAAGTCCCTGTAACTTTCAAAGATCAGAGAGACAATTTCAAAATGGAAAATGGTTGTTTAATGAAATTCCCCACTGAGTTTGTATTTCCTTGATAACTTTGGAGTTTCTAAATATATTAAAACAAAGACTCTGAAAAAAGAAGGCAAGTGGGATTAGTAGTGAAGAAACTATTTCTAAGGTGAGATTGTATGAAACCTTATTTATTGTCAGGATTCGCAAGGGCTCACTCCCAGGTTTAGCCTTTAATGTGTAAAGAATGAGTACAAACAAAACTGCACCTGAGCATATGCAGACTACATTTGCCTCCACAGGAACTTTTAAAAGACAGCCTGCATATTGTGTGTTAGAATGAAGGATTCTAGTGTCAACAGGCATCGCTGCCATGCCAGTCGCTACTCTAGGACATCGCACGTTATCGAAATGCAGGCTGGACACTTCTAGAACATGTAAGAAGGACCCTGGCGGTTCCAGAATATTGTGCCTTGGAGTTTGTTTCTGAAGATGCTTCTCTGAAGATTGGACTTATTCCCAGGAAAATGTCCAGAGGAAAATAACCGAACGGTATTCTCCTAAGCAGAATTACATCCTTTCTAAGCCCACTAGAGAAGGCTATAACTGTGTTTAGGATAGCACTCTAATTTATCATCATACCCCTTCTTCTATTAATTGGTCTTTTAACTTAGGTCTGCATTTTGCCACAATGTATAGAAAATGCTTTTCAAAAGACCTTTAAGGAAAGCAGAATCCATAGGGATAAACTGAGAGAGGTAAACCCAGAAAGATTTTCACTAGGAAAAATGGAAGCTATTTTTGAGTAATATGTTATTGGCTATGACAGAAACCCCCCTGAATCTAGCACTCCTTGTCTATCCTTTGTTGCCCTTTGACTGTTGCTAAAGGAAGATCCTACCTGCCATGGGTGAACATTCCGATGCTTCCCTATGTCTACATCCCCCATTATCTTCTGTTTGGCTCTCAGTGAATCTACGGCTTGGAGAGCATGTGCTACAGCATAGACAGCATTGTAGATGTTATAGCTCTGGCCAGACATCCCCGTTTCGAACACAGACCCAGGGAGGCTCTCCAGTTTTTCCTCCCCAGTGCATTTTCTTCTGTAAAATTTGTTACTGTGCATATTGCACTTAAATGACATTGCCCAGAAACCACGAAGGAAAGAAAACACTGACTTGTAAGGATTTATTGTTTGAAGGAAGTCTTGGAATCCTGGGACCACGTTTGTGTGGAGAACAAGGGATAAGGTGCCAGTCAAGGATTTTAAGAGCCCTATCTTGTTAATAGCCACATTAGCAAAGTCCCATTGGAGTGTTCTGATCCAGACCTTTTCTTTACAACACATTTGATACAACGAGTTGCTTTCTAGCATCTGCTGTAAAAGCACAATGCAGTTATTTTCACCATAATCAAGAATCACTGTAGCCTTGGTTAGTATGAGAGCAATAAGTATCGGTTTAAACATACTATAAAATTCTTCAGTGTACTTGGATGGCAAAGCCAGGTTAGGCGTTTTCTCCTGAAAGGCAATGCAAATGTTGTTCTGAGTGAGCAGAGGAATAAAGGTCTTCAGAAAAGTTTCTCCGCTGTCATTATCTGAGACAAGAAGGCCAATCCAGGTCCACCTGAAATGCTTCAGGAGGTGAATAATCCCAAAGTACTGAGTGTTTTCATCTGGCACCATTCGATAGAAGGATGGGAACTGCATTCTGTTGCTCAGCAGTGCGTCAAAGGATCCATAACTGAGCTAGCAGGATATAAAAATCAGTTAGGAGGGGAAAAAATCATTTGCGTCCAATCTGAAAATAAATGTCTCCAAACTTTGCCCTATCTAAAGATTTCATTCTATTTGACCCTCTGATAAGGATATACTAAAACATACAGTGTTAGGTTGCAGTCACACACACTAAATAATCCACTTTCAAATTGGATTTTGCCAGTTCACACCATAAAAATCATAAGAACATAAGAGACGCCAATGTTGGATCAGGCCTAAGGCCCATCCAGTCCAACACTCTGTGTCACACAGTGGCCAGAAATACCAGTGCCATCAGGAGGTCCACCAGTGGGGCCAGGACATTAGAAGCCCTCCCACTGTTGACCCCCCCCAAGCACCAAGAAGACAGAGCATCACTTGCCCCAGAGCCCCTATCTATACCTTGTGGCTAATAGCCACTGATGGACTTCTGCTCCATATGCTTATCTAATTCCCTTTTGAAGCTATCCATGCTTGTAGCCGCCACCACTTCCTGTGGCAGTGAATTCCATGTGTTAATCACTCTTTGGGTGAAGAAGTACTTCCTTTTATCTGTTCTAATCTAGTCGGCAAGTGCACTGAAAATGGATTGAAAGTGGATTATTTAGTGTGTGTGACCGCAGCCTAAAACTTCCAAATAAAGCCAGTTTCTATAGTCAAGGAAGGTCCATATTTGACATGAATTCAGAAACAAAAAGTTGGGGAGCTGAATTCATTGTACTGAAGAAAGGAGAAATGGAGTAGAGAAGAGGTCCCCATTTTTTTTGAGCCTCTCTGAGCACCTTTGGAGTTCTGACACAGGGTGGTGGGTACAACCACAAAATGGCTGCTGAAGGAGGTGGAGACAACCCCAAAGTACCAGGAAGTGAGGTTATGCGCAACTTGAATAGTAACTCTTCAGCATTTCAGGCAGAAGCTTTGTTTAACGGGATGCCCTTTAAAATTAGCGTAATGTTTAAAAATATTTTCACGCATACACACAAATAGAAATATTGAGCTTGCCATCTCCTTTCACCTGAATTATAAGAATATATTCAAACTGGAAAGGTCTGATGACTTCACTAGAAATCCCAGTTAGATGCATTAAGCGTTTTAGCTGTGCTGCCTCAATTGTGTTCGGTCAGAATGAAGTCCTTCTGTGTCCTTAGCGTATCACTCTGCTATTTGCAAAGGTAAAGTACTTTACACAGGGGTCTTGTTGTAGAAAAAGAGCTGCCGGAGCTCATTAGCATAACTCATTAGCATAACTTATTTGCATATGCCATGCCCCCTGACATCACCGGAAGTGACAGAAGGCCACACCCCCTGACATCACCGGAAGTGTGTCAGAAGGCCCGGCTACTTACCCTCCTGCTTCATCCTCATTCCCAAACGGAATGAGGATCGAAGCAGAGGGCGGGGTAAAGAAGGGGGCGGGGCTTCACCACGTGACCGCCCCGCCCCCTAGAGGTTCTCTTCCGGAGCTCCGTACCTGAGAGCTCCCCCCCGACTAGAGCCCTGACTTTACATAAAGTCACTGTCAGCATTATCAGGTAAAGTACTTTACATAAAGTCACTGTCAGCATTATACCCTTAACATCAAAAACTCAAAAAGCCAAACCTGGCCCTGCCTACTTTCTCAAAACTCTTGGTGGGCATAATGAAAGGTATTGGTGAGTGCCATGGCACTCATGGAGACCACACTGGAGGGGTCTCTGGGACAGAAGATGGTGGACCTCTGATTCCATGTACTGAATGGGCAAAGCTTAGAAGACAGCTACAAAATCTGAACTTTGTATATCAGTGTTATCATCTCTTTTTTTCTTTTGGAGACACCCCCCCAATTGCTTTTGTAACACACAAAACAAAACATACCTGGGGAATCTTGAGGACATTTAAGATGTTGGACATCTGGACAGAGTTTTGGGAGGTGAGACCACCAATGGCAGCTAGTACCTTTCCTTTCCTGACCCAGTTGAAATTGTGAACTGTCCTTGGCTGAGAGAAGAGTAGATCGAGAATATTTCTATCCGTTGTAATAGGGTCAAAACTGTTGTCATAGATCTCAGATTGCAGCGTCATGTTGGGTAACATCTTGGGATTCTTGTTAATTTCATCAACAGCAAACACAAAAGCCAGTACGTGCTGGTAATTTTTAAGCAGCGGGCTGCAATAAGAAAAAAAAACACACACGGGAGGAGTGGTTGCTAAGAAGGAAAAGATGGTGCATTGTTCAATTCGGAAGAAGGTTTTAAGAATGAGAGGACATTAAGTGGCTAAAGAAAGTAGACTCTTAAAAAGCAATATTTATGACCACAACATGAGAGCCAGTATAGTATACAGATTCCAGACCTGGACTAAGCCCAGGAAAACTTATGTTCAAATCTCAAATACCATGAAACTCTGTGGGTTACCTTGGGCCAGTCATTGCCTGTTAGCCTAAACTACTTCACAAGGGTTATGGTCAGTGGGGGAGGGGAGAACCACTACATCACCCTGAGCTCCCTGGAGGAAGAGGCAGAAGAAAAATTCAACTAAATAAATGACAGGTAGAGAATTTAGGGGAATCTCTTCTAGTGCAGCTCTAAGCAGTGTTTTACCATTCTAAGCCCAGGGTGGTGGGGTTTTTTTGCTTTCTTTAAAAAAGGTGCTGGTACTTATAGATTGCATGGATTTGTACCAATTGTCACTCAGGCCTTGGGAGACCCCTGCCTCCTCCAAGATACCAGTACTGGGTATTGTTGAGTACCACCACAAAAAAGGCCTGGCTAAGGCCATTGATTTTGGTACATTTAAAAAAGTCTAACCCTCCATAGGATTTCGCTGATAGTTTACTAGTGAGATTTCACAGGTAGCACTCAGTGATACCAGGGCAATAACTATCCCTGTATCCCTCACAACCAAAATGACTACTCTCACTGAAATGTACAGGGGAGCAATGCTCCCTCTAAGCTGTGGAGTCTTGTGAGCAAAAACTCTACTTTGTGAGCTATTGGCATTAAAGTTGTGAGTGAGCAATTTGGCTACTGCATAAATTAGTTTGCTCTAGAACCACCCCTTCCTGAGCGAAGACAAAAATGTGTGAGCCGGAGGCTAAAAAACTCTGAGCTAGCTCACACTAACTCAGCTTAGAGGGGACACTGCAGGGGAGTGCTACAAATTTCTGATTTTTACCCACAAGGATGAATATTATGATTCCCAGCAAATTTCAGAAACATTTTTACTCATTAAGTTCTACGGAGGGTTCTCCGAGAGTGGGAACTTCCTTCACAAGCTCATCGGCACCCTACCTTCGTTAGCTATGTTTTCACTTTTATCACAAATAGTGGAAAAAAAATGATTGGGAATTTTCTCTGCGACTTCTTAGATGTGACCCATTACCTCAACAAGGACAGCTGTTTAAAAACTTCTTACCCACTGAGTTTGGAGGAAGGCGGCGTTTCTGTAAAGTTGGGTGCAGGCCGTTCAAAAAACAGAAGGGATACAAATCCTCCGAGTACGATATCACCTGCCCTTCTATAGGCCCACAATTCATCTGTTTCCTGGAAGGTGTCCAAAGAAGAGTACAAAGACGTACAGAAAGAAGGAGGCAATGCCAGAAGCAGCAGCAGTAACAACATGGGCGTGTTCACTTGAACATCTGGAGGCCATCTCCACTTGCACGCCTGCATTGTCATCCACAAAGATCCTGCTGCTGCTAATGGCAACACTGATCTCAAAAGAAACCACAGGCAACTATCTTCAAGACTCATGACGATCAAGCAGGGTGCACCCAACGTAAGTTCCAACCTGGGGTATTGTGGCTATGGGATAAGGGGTGATATTGTCAGAGCCTTGCCCCTCTTATCTTAAACCCACACACAGTGGGTAATGCTTTTACAGAAGTCTCTATATATTGCATCTAGTGCCCCATGCTTAGTGAGCTCTTTCAGTTATGGATTTTTTTCCAAGTGGCTACTGCCACTTGAGGGCTTCAGCAAGGAGTCGAGTGAAATCACAGCAATTTCCATAATTACAGGGCTTGCAATCAACTTACCCAAAGCGATCAGACATATGCATAGCCCAAGAAAACTTGTTAGTGTCTTTGTAGTCAATATTTTCTCATCTATGGGACCAATGAAGTCATTGTCCATAGTTAGATTGTGAGCCAACTTGGAAACCTGAGCTGGTTTTACTCATGCATCGGATGTGAGAGCAGGAGATCATGAGTTAAAGGAAATACAACCAGAAGAAAATCTCCTTTCTGCTACACTCTTTTGCTTCGCACGAACATGCTCAAATGCTAATGGCACATCCCACCTCACACGTATCGCACCTCCACCCTCGCCCATCTTGCCCCTGCTTGGTGCGGACTTCTTCAGGCCTCAGAAAAGGAAGGAGAGGAGACACAACCTGATTTTTTCCTTCTCTGGGTTGATACTTTCTTCCATCGGGAAGTCTCTCTTCTCTGCTTCCTCCCTGGCCTGGTTCAGAAGCCTTCTTTTAGAGGACTCAGACTGCACCTTTTCTCCCTCAGAGCCAATCAGGTCCCTGTTCCCACGGGCTGGCTGTCCCAGTTGGCTGATTTCCCCGCCAGTTGCCAGCCTGGTCCTCTTCCCTCATCTACCCCTCCCTCCCTCCCTCCATTGGCCTCTCCCCTTTTCTTCCTCAGTTGTGATCATACTTTGGCCCCGTTTGTGACAACCCCTCACCTGTCCCAATTGCTGGCTCCCTGCCTGGAATGTGGTTGCAAGGGGAAGTGCCAGGTTTTGGCGGGGTGGCACCTGGTGGTCTGTCCTCAGCCCACGTCAACCCTTTGCTGCCATTTGCCACCCTCTGCACGAGGCAGCTGACATTGTGGTTCTCTGTGCCACTGGAAGTGGCTGGAGCTGTTGCCCATTCCCCAGCTCAGCGGCACTCCCTGTCTTTGGCTGCAACCGTAGCCCTCTTCCAGCTCCAGACAAGAAGCCAGGGTATTTTGCACTGGGTTTAGGGTTGCCAAGTCTATCTTCGCCGGGAGTGGGGGGCTCCCGGCCGGCGTCTTGTTGTGCACGCGCGCGCCGCACCACATCACCTGGAAGTGACAAAAGGACGCCAGGCACGCTGGGGGTGGGGCCATGGCCATACAAAGGAAAACCATAGAGTTTTCCCTTGTATGGCCATGGCCCCGCCCCCAGCATGCCCGGCATGCCCGCGTCACTTCTGGGTGACGCGCACATCGGGGTGGAGCTCCCCCCGGGGCCCGATCCGGTGGCGCCGGGGAACGGGCCTCTGGGGTGGGGGTTTCCCCGCCCCCCGGGGGGACTTGGGATCCCTAACTGGGTTGTGCATCTCAGCCTGGCGGAAGCCCCTCCACCTTCATTGGTGCTTGTGGGTGGTGGGGGGCTGAGTCCAAGCTGGGCATTGGCCCTGGACAGTTATAAAATGCTAAAGTAGAAGAATCACAGAAAGTTGAATGTATGGAAAAAAAACCTTTGAGTGGGATGGGACAAGTTCTTCAGCTGTAGGCAAGTGGGAAGAACCGAACATTGACACAGTTGTGTATCTTGTGCAGCTGGGAAATGGTATACCCCCAGAAGAGCATTATGCTCTGGAGAGAAGTACCTGGCCCAAAAGATATCTGGCTGTCCTCAACCAGAGCCAGGGCCTTCCTGGGACTGGCCTGGAATTCTCTGCCAAATGACATCTGTGTCCTGCAGGACCTGGCATAGTTCCGTAGGGCCTGTAAGACAGAGATGTTCCACCAGGCCTATGGTTGAGGACAGCAATAGTTTCCATTGTGCCTGGCCTCTCATTTTTGTTCTCTCCTCCTTTGCCCTCCCTTATGGGGTAAGGATAGGAAATGGTCTGTAAGCGCCATCTTGTAGTAGCTACTGGAATTTTATAATTTTACCTGTTTATTGGGTTTGGTTGTAATTTTATTGAGATGCTGTTCACTGCCCTGAGCCCTATGTTAGGGGAGGGCGGGCTATAAATTGAATTAATAAAATAACTGTATGTCAAGCTTGCTCACTGATCTGAAAACCCCCAGAAGTGTCTGCTCTTTGCAGCAGTTTCAACATCACAGCCGTTTGACAGTCGGACTTAAGAAAGAGATGCAGGTGTGGTGTCACAGTGATCAGTGGGTAGCATGGGCATTGCAATCCTGAGGGCCAACGAGGCTGTCTGCCGGCTCAGCTGCAGTGCCCCAAGTCAGTTCCCTGTAAACATTCTGCACGGAAAAAACAATAATGGGTGACCCTCTGCAAGGCACAGATTGCATAGCAACCATGTGGGAGTCCTTGGCGACCACAACAACATCCGCCATCCTGACAATGGTAGCTGATGACAGCCCTGTGAGTGACACACCCAGGCGCAACTGATCACTGACCACTGCCCCTCAAGACCACTCCCACTCTCCCGTGGAGGGCCAGTGGACAGGGAGGAAGGAGCCAGCCATAGCACATCCCCTGCGTGTGGCCTGACAGCCCTGGCAGATCATAGGAGATGGGCACCTGTGCAGTGGACAGCACCCCACTTGCCCGGCAAGGCCCTGACTGGCAGCAAGAGTGTTGCCCACATGCAAGTATCCCTGATCTGAGCCACACGCACCCTGCCCCTGAAAACACGAAAAAGACAAAAACAATAGAAGCTGGCCTTGAACCCGCAGACTTCCCCTCCTACACCCAAGACCAGCAGGCTAACCCCTGGGACAGAAGGATAGGTTCGATTGGGGCACGCCATCAGGCACTAGGCACCCCGCTGGAGCCCTCATGCCATGCGGCAGGGGTCGTTGCACAGACTGTCACGGCTCCGCGGAATGACAAGGGGATAGCATGGCCGTGGCTCCCGGTTCGATCTCTGCACAGCAGGCGTGGGAACAGGATGGCCCAGTTTGGCTTGGATGCCACGCTACAACAAGCCCCCTCCAATGCACCCGTGGACCATGGATTCCTGCACTGACCAGCTGCATGGCCTCTCCTAGTGGGAAAGTGTGGGACCCAGAAGCATACCCTTTCGAGAGCAGCCGCACCCCCCTGGACCAGCTATCAGCCCATTCCCCATGCGCAGGCCAAAAGAGCAGCCAGCAGAGTGTGTGCATGTAAGGGATGCCAGACCCCCCGGTGGGGGCAGGGGTCTCCCACGGCAGGTCCCGCCTCTCCACTGCCAATCAGCTGGCTGGTAGAGGTGGGGAATTACCTCCCTGAAAAGTACTGGGTTCGCCGCATGGAGGACTCGGACGACGACATGAGTTTGCACACGTTTATTGTACTTAACACAAAACTACCTAAAACGGCCCTGCAAGGCCAGCTATATACACACCCACCCAGCACAGCCCTAGTCCATTGGAGGGTTTGAATTTCCCGCCAAAGTGGCTATTGGTTGGGGCTGGGGGGAACTAGGATCCTATGTTCCTATTGTCCAGGGGAGCCAAGCTCCTGTCTTTGCCACGGACCCCTAGTGGCGGTCCGCGTACAAAACACTCCCCCAAACAAAGGGAGGAACACCCAACATTTCAGCAACATGCCTACATGACTACAACGTGACCTGAAGTTATGCAGGCATGTCAGGGACACTGGGACAATGCTCTGGTTTTCAGGCAAAAACTCTATACTTGAAGCTAATTCTACCATAGAGATCTTGCCCAAAAAGCAGAGCGTTGCCCTGATGTCCCCGACATGCTTATGTCACTTCTGGGTCACATGAGAAATCATGGGCACATTGCCGAAATGTGCAATGAAACTCCCAGCTCCCAGTAAGCCCACCCTCCATCCCCCACTGACTGCCCGGAGGGGCCTGGCAACCTTAGTGTGTGTGGGGGAAGTGTGAGCTTAGCCTTTGCTCTCTTTTTCAGCAGAAGAAATCTGAAATCCAGAGGCACCAGAGAGACCAACTGCAGCCACCCCCAGCATGGGCAGACCTGAGTCAGAGCCCACCCTCTAGGGTGTGTGAAAGGGCAGTCCGAAGGGGAAGTCACAGATGTGGGGGAAAGGTGGGGGTAGCGAGGGGCGTGGAACTCATCTGGTCACCACAAAACAAAACAGAACAAAAACCCAAACAGATGGGGATGGAATTGATTGAATCACAAATCATGAAGATCTCCAATGAATTGGGTTGCCAACTCCCTGTGGGACTTGTGTCATAAAGAAAGCTGCTTCGGGCATTTGAGGAGATAGGTTGAGCTACCCTTAACACAGCATGCATCTGAGAGAGGTGGACTTCCTGGTTAGAAAGTCCTGGCCCCACTGCTGGACCTCCTGATGGCACCTGGTATTTTTGGCCACTGTGTGACAGAGTATTGGACTAGATGGGCCATTGGCCTGATCCAACATTGGCGTCTCTTATGTTCTTAAGGTTGCCAGAGGAAGGATGCACCAGGAGCTGGGATGGACGCAGTGATTGGGTAGGGTGGCAGGGATTGCGATGGTCATGCTGCCAGGGCTCCCTGTTGAATCACCACCTGCACAGATGCTGAACAGAAACAGGTGCAGCAATGGCAAACAGCACAGATGCTGTGTTGGCCACAGCCGTGTGACCAGCAGGCCCCATAGTCCATGGCGGGCATTGGCCAGGAGAGGCCCTTTGAGGCTCATGCCGTTGCCATTCTGGCATATATCCGGGGACCATCTCGCTTTCAATTGAGTACTATTGCTGTTATGATTAATTGTTATTAATGTTTTTATTGCTTTTACCTTGTTTTATATGGGCTTTGCCCCTTGTAAGCCACCCTGAGCCCGCTTTGCGGGGAAGGCGGGGTAAAAATCACAAATAAATAAATAAATAAATAAATAAATACATACATACATACATACATACATACATACAT